TGAAGTCAGTCGGCAAGATGCGAAAGCTCGGTCGATGAGTGCCTCATGCTTTGAAGCAGTATGACATGGTCTGCCGCGCCGACATAGCACTTCTCTCCTCACGCTGAAGCGCAGGAGACGTTCAGGTGTATTCATTAGTATGTATTAAAAAGCTTTTTGTACTCTACCTAACGATGCCTCGTGCGTCTATTTTCGTCACCTCTTTCCGAGTTATGATCTCTACAAGTCATCACTATCTTTTTGTCCAAGGACTTATGACTCAACCTAATATCAAAAAACAGCTTCATAACTAATCAGAATAGTTTAAAAGACATTTTAGGAGAGTTTCATTTCATTTCTGAGAATTCTTCGGTCCAAAACCCACCAGAACCCTTCCTCTTAAACTAGTGACCTTGTTGACAATGTTCTCGATTCTCTTAGCAAGTCTAAAACCGAATGTGCAAAAAATCTAGCTGTTCTTGCACTTGCGGAGTATTAGGAACCTCGTTTTATGGTAACGAGCAGGGTTCCTTCTAGAGGAGTCGCCAAAAGTAGTTGAAAAAGTCACGTCAATGTTCCACACAAAGTGTCCGCAAAAAAGCGTAACAGATTAGAAAGATTAGAATGAGAAGATTAAAGTCACGGATGAATTCGAACTAAAGTCCGAAAACAAATAAACCCAAAAAAAGTCTCTGGGTGTGAACAGCGAAACGACTTTTTAGCCGGATCACTTTTGCACTTTTAGTGCTCAACCGTGAAGTTTATTGTATGTCTTTTTCTCATGCTGTTTTTATCGAAACTGAGGCTGATCGACACCTTTCACCTGACTGTATGGAATAAAAGGAGATTCTCATGCAAGTGTGATAACCTGAGCCATTGTGAGTAATTTCGTCGCCTTAACTAATTTTAGAGTTCACCTTCTTTTGCCGGATGTTCTCGATATCCGCTTAATCTAATCAAGCTATACTCCCCTTAGAGTTTGGTTAATTAGAACCAGACTTCTCTAGGAGGATAAAAGCTCTGACTTGTGCACTGGCTGGCCAGTACAACATATTGTGGAGGCCGCGTATCATTCAGCTCGTCTCTACGATTCTGATCGAATGCGGAAGCGCATTCTTTAGAGTGTTCAGTTGGTACAAATTTTTATTCCACAATCATACTTAAGGAAGTGAGCTAAAACTCAAAAACGTTCCCAGAGTCCTTACCGATCGTAATGTAACCCTCCGAAACAATTATTCTTACCAACTTTAGTTACACTACAGTACAATCAATACAGTACAGTGGTTTGTTGTTTTGATTCTCAAATTCAGNGGCCTAACTGTGCTTGCTCCTAGTCATCCTAATCAAAGCAGTTGCGGTAAGCAACTCTTGATTGTGGACCTAGAGAGAATGACTGTATAAATGACTAACAAAATTTTGAATTCAGGTTCGTGCTGAGCGACGGCAGCTGCCCTTCCATGTCCATGTTGTATTTGCATTGCAAGGTCTTTTTTGATCACGTCCTGTCGCCTCTTCTTTATGGCCTCTCATGACTCAGTTTTGGTCTTGAATTCCAATGCCTCCCTTCGTCACATAATTTTGAGGTCTTCTCAGTACGTGCCTGTAACTTCAGACGCTGCTCTCTAGCCCTCAGCTGGACAGCGGCTGTTCGCATGGCCACCCTGATGTCTTCAGTACGGCGCAGTTTCGTCCAACCGCAGGCCCATAGGCATGGGCATTTTCACTTAAGAAAAGTGGTTGTCTTTCATTATTTTGTTTACTGGCTAGCACTTGCTATGGTAGAGCAACGTGGGCCTCACTACTGTCCGGTACTCCTTTCCTTTAACCGTCCCGGAGCACCGTCTTCCAAGACCTTGAAGGACTTTGTCCACTTCATCCATGCGTGTTTATTCGAGCCCTTACAGCTTGATCCAAGCTACCGTCACTGCTCAGATGCCTGAACCTTCATTCATTGGATGGTCGACTCCCTGCCAGAACTTACTGCTACTTCTGCAGCTTGACCTGGAGATCTTCTCAACTATTTGCTATCAGAGCGAAAACATCCATGTAGAGGATGGTATAATATCCATGTAGAGGATCACGGGCTCGCAGCTGACCCTGTTGCATCTGAAACGGGACGTTCATTGCTTTTGTTAGGAGGTAAGGGGTGGTCAACACCGTGTTTTACCTATCATACATTTCCTTGACTAGGGAGACGAAGTGTCTAGTGGACGTTTCATTTGTAGAGCACTCCAAAGGAGTTGTCACAGAAGCTGCTCGGAAGCCTTCTTCAGACGGGAGGCTAGGTAGCAGGTTCTGCGCGCTTCCCGATACTTGTCCATAAATTGTTACTCTGATGGTGACATCTATCGTAGGCCTTCTGGCCTTGTGCACCACCCTGTGAGATGGAAGCAAACTTCTACGTTGGAAGCAAACTTCTGCATCTTACGTCTGGTAGTCGTTCATATAACTCCGTGGTATGCACAACCGACCTAATTCTGTGGTAGTGTCTCTACCCTGCTTCAAGAAAATAACGATAATACCACTCTTCCAGGCATCGACGATTTCTCCTTTGGTGATGACAGTGTACGTGAATTGCGTTAGCCACTGCATCCCGTGGTTTTCTAGTGCTCTATATGCTTCGATCGGTATCCCATCCACACCAGTTGCTTTTCCAACCTTCATCTTTCCTACTGCTCCACAGACTTCAACCTCTCTCCAGAGTGCGATGAGGCTAGCCATCACCCCGTTTTTGGAGCTGTTGTCATGGCGGAATTCGTTAAGGAGCCTGTTGATGAATTTCTTCCACTTGCGCTCACCTCGCCGGCTTCCTCAAAATCGTTCTCGCTGAGCCTTAACTACTCCGGTGCCTTGAGACCTCGTTGTCGCGCTTTGCCCGGCAGAAAGACGAAGTTCTCCTTTTTGAGACCATTGAGCTCTTAGAACGTGCACTTTCGCTTTCGTTGCAGCAGTACAACAGCTTCACGAGCCTCTTGCAAATTCTGTATAGTTCTTGCCTAGCGCTTGTATATGGCTTTCTACTCCCTCATAACTCGCTGGAGGTCATCAACGTTTCGGAACCACTTTTCGTTGCTTCTTCGGAATCCACCTCAAATCTCACCTAGCATTTCCCTTGCACAACGTATGATGACTTTCAAAACGCTTCAGTTCTGCTGAATCGCTCCCTTTGGTTGGAATACCAGTTCGAAGTATCCTTCGTTTTAGTTTTTCTCGCTTTATTGTAGCTCCCACCACCATTCTTACTCTTAGGTTTCAGGACTGTTTCAGTCCTACAACTTAAAAAAGGAACGACTCCGTTCAGACTGTTTTTGTGAATGTAGCGATCTATAAGGGCAACCGACTTTGACCACCGTCAATTCGTGCTATTCAATACAGGATTTCTATTAGGTAGTCATTTCTTCACGGAAAAAGGAAGGAGTAGATACGTCTCAGTAAGACATTTCAACTTTACATAAAAAGTAGTAAAGCCCGGCGCTAGCAAGGCGATCCGACTGTTAAATAGATAAATAAATGAACAAACAATAGATAAATGAAAAAATAGATAAATAAATAAATATTGACGGCTGCATTTCCGAGCAAAAAACTTTTTGAGGACTTCATCACCCTGATGCGGTCAAAAAACTGTGGTCCAGTCTAGCCGTACACAAATTGAGGAAGTCCAAAACGTGACTTTCAGTACAGTAAACTGACTGTCTTTGGGCGACAGGTAGCTGACTATTTCATCAATAGTTCAAAAAGTCACGTCACGGTGATTATTCTCAATAGGTCAATGTGGCCACAAAAAAGTCGAACAGATAATAATGACGAGATTTGCGTCATCACGTCACTTCAGAAACTAATAAGTACCAATTCGAATCTTTGCTGAGAATCTATCAAACAACTTTTTAGTTAGAGGAATTTTGCCTTTTGAACGTATTCACCAACGATGCCAATACTGTGGATTCTTCTCATATTTTCCTTATCAGGATCAAGGCTAATCCTCACATGACACCTATGAATCTATGAATATAAAGAGATTCCCTCGTAACTCCAACATTCTGAACAATGGTAAGTCATTTCAATGCGAATATTACTAAAATTTACTCATTTCACTGGAAGGTCGAAAAGCAAAGCATGTTCCAGAGGTACGTAGTACTTGCACTCTGCATTTACCTATCCCAAACAGCCTTCGCATCCGAAGCGGATGTGCTCGGTTGGTCTTCATTCCTACCAACAAATTATTTTACAAAAGTGACTGATTGATCACCACTCCGCTCTTACAGCTTCACTGAAAAATGAGAAAATTTCCTTGAAAGCGCAGTTGCTGAGGGGTGAAGGACTGATCAATTATCTAAAGACGAAGCAGAATCTCTTCGAGGTAACAAACATTTCATTATCGAGGTCAACAACAACGATTCCGACGATGTCTGTTTGCAGGCTGCAATCACCCCACAGAGCTACAATTTCAAGCGCAACTTAATGGATCGGAGATTCATCAATCACAATAGGAAGCCAATTGTAGAGGACGTCAACGACGATGGCGACGACATTCCAGAAAGGTAGTTCATTACCGTCAGAAGTTATATCCTTAAAACCCTTTCACAACATCAACGGAGAAGTTTCTCATTTCTAAAGACTAACCTATTTGTTAATAAAAGTCTAAATGAAAAAAATCTAGAACCTAGTTCAAGCGCCAATCTGAACTGAAACCTTTATAGCTCAAAGTTGCGGCTTTAAACTCAGAATGTTGGAAGACTACTGAAGGTAGTCTTCCAACATTATATAGGTATGAAAGGAATGGAAAGGAAAGGAATGGTGTATAGGAAGGTATGAAAACAAACTGCTCTGTGTTGCCTGAAGTAACACAAGTAAATTGACACAACATAGTCATTTGCAGTTTCGACGCTCGAACTCACTGGCCCAACTGCTCTTCGCTTACACACATCCGTGACCAAGCCAACTGCGGTGAGCTACATTTGTTTGGTGACTCAGAACAGAAAATGAATGTGAAGATCACTGACTGGAAATTTACATTTTCAGCTTCATGCTGGGCAGTGTCGACGGCATCTGCCCTTTCAGATCGAATTTGTATCGCTAGCAGAGGAGCAAAGCAGGTTCGACTGATACTTATATTGAAATTCTGCTCCTGAAATGTGAAAAATTTCAGGTGTATGTCTCGGCGACTGACATCCTGTCATGCTGTCATTCATGCGGTTACGGGTACGATTTTATAACTGACCAAACCTTCCAAATGTTTTCTCTTCTACACCAGTGAAGTGTCACTGCCACTGAGTTCAGCATCGTTGTGATGTGTAATTGTGGCGACCTTTTCTCAATAACAAACAGAAAATTTAGGAGTTCAGATTAAGCGCAGTGGTTTGACATATCCACTTACTCAGAAAGGCATTGATATGGGATCCAAAGTGAGCATGCGTACAGGGTTTTGCAATTGCCGGCGAATCGATTAGTGGGTAAAAAAATTTAAGTGTGCATTGAATAGTCGTGACTCAACTCAAAGAAAAAATTTTCGTCGTCGCATGCTTTTTTTCCAAAAAAAAGTCACGAGAGCATCATGTCGCTAGTAGTTATAACGTATGGTTTCAGATGTGGTGGTGGATATGTAAGTGAAGCTTTCAAATTCTTTGCAGAACAAGGTGCCGTCACCGGAGGAGACTACGGGGCTAAGGTAACACCATAAAATCTTCCTTACTTGAAAATCTAATAGAGGACTTGTTGCTAGGATTCTTGCCGTCCTTACCCTTTCCATCCATGTGGACAACATGAAAATCAAACATACTACGGGGAATGTCTAGATGCTGCAGATACGCCAAAATGTGTAAGAAAGTGCCAGAAGAGCTACAACAAATCATTCAGAAAGGACAGAATGCGTGGTATGTATGGTTCTTGAAGAAGAAAGCGAGACCTAATAAGAACTGAACATACACTGGCCGCGCAGGGGTCCGGGAACTTCTCCCCTAACACGGCGTCGCACACGCCGCACCCGCCGCCTATCGCAGGATTGCGATGAAAGATTGGAGCGCGCAATTTGTGAGGTAGGGAGTCCTTTAATCATTTGAATTGGCTGGTCGCTCCCTTCAATTTCAATGCGGTATTGATNTTTCGGGAGGCGGGGTGAGTACGGTAATTGCAGTGACATTTGCCGCATGCCGCAAGGGAGAATGCCGCGATAGGGGAAAAGTTCCGTTACCCGCCGCGCAGAGAAGGAGGATAGTACTATCCCTAGAATAGGGTGAATGGAATATAGGTTCAGAGCATTTGAACGTCCCCGCTACTACTAGAAAAATTGATATATTGGAAAATCAAATCGAAACACTGAATCTCATTCATGATCGGGACTTCTTCACTTGCTCTCCGAGCCACCTCACCTACCCCAAGACCAAATAGAAATCTAACGCTTTGTGTTTATTAAAGTTTTCAAACCGAAGCACTCACTCGCTTGGAAGGCCAACTCTGAAATTGCAATTTCTTGAAATTTTTCGAGACATCATAAACATTAGCGCTTATTATGACTGAGTTTTCAGGAAAGGATGTCTACGAAGTGCCGATGTCGGTCAAAGCTATTCAAAGAGAAATCATGACGTATGGGCCTGTTGTTGCCAATATCATCGTTTATGAAGACCTCATATACTATAAAAAAGGAATTTACAAGGTGGGGTTTTTGCAGGGAAAAAAACTTCTCTCAAAAGTTCCAGAAGATAGGCTAATTTCTCTGGATGTGAATTTAATTTCCCTCATAGACTGCCATTACGGCAACCGCGAGAGGTTTACATGTTCACTACATATTTTTTTTTGGTGAATAAAACAGAATACAGTATTTGTTTTCAGCACACAGCAGGCGCAGAAACGGGTGGCCATGCTATAAAGATAATTGGTTGGGGCACCGAAAATGGTGTGCCCTATTGGCTCATTGCTAATTCGATGAACTACGACTGGGGAGAGAACGGTGAGTACAGTGTCATTCCGTTGACTGGACTCAGTGAGTGCTGTAACTTCCTAAATGTGTAAAAGACTTTTATTTCTATTTGGATCTTAATCACTCTCTTGCAGGTTACTTCCGCATGATACGTGGAATTAACGACTGTGATATTGAAAAATACGTAGTCGCCGGACATGTCTAATTATGGTTGCTGCAAAATCGAAGCCGAATAAAATATATAATGAACTTTTATATAAGTGTTTATGTATGGAAGAAGGTTGAAAATACATTGAGTAACGGCTGTAGGATGTTAATTTGGGGTTTCACGTGAGCGACTACTTTCAGAGAAGGCTGGGAATTCCGCAACACTGAATGCTCTAGAAAGACCAATTTTAGTTTTTGCTCATTCGCTGCTCGCAAGGTTCATATAAAAAAGGTAAAATTATCGCAAAAATCGTCATTGACTTCAAGGCCATCGAACATCCCACAATCCATCTTTGAATGATAGCAAAATTTTCGATTCTGCTGGATCACCTACAAGCATGCATACTACGGTCGCTTATCAGTCATATACATAGAAGGGAAAGGGCAATGTGCTTAGTCAAGATGTAAAGTGTAGATGGCCACAAGTTAAATAATGAAGTCTAGAGGAAGGGCGTAGAAGCTGGAGGCCAATGTCAGCAGGAAAAACACTCAGCTAAATGGGACGTAATTAAATTGTTGCATATACATACAAGCTCCCTCGAAGGTTCCTAAACTTTGAATCTGTTCTTGCCTTAAATCTACTCCTGACCTATCACAATCCAGACTTATCCATCTTCGCTGCTGCCGACGCCTCAGACTATGGAATCGGAACGATGGTCGCCACTCGAATGCTGAATGGAAGAGAGTGGACCATCTACAACGCTAGCCCTTTTGTCTTAACCGCTGAGGAGAACTATGGTCAAATGGAAAAAACCTCAGTCGTCTTCGCCGTTCCTAAATTTCATTGATACATATACGGACTCAGCCTCACTTTTTGCGGATCACAAACCGCTTTTAGACATTTCCATATCCAAAAAAAGAGTCTTGAACGATTTCGTAAAGAGCCTGCAACGTTAGAGGCATGCTATGATATGACCACTATACATTAGAGGCTTGCTATGATATGACCACTATACAGAGTTTCAGAACAGCCGATGCTGCAGACATTATTGTAAGTAGACACGATGACGTCATGCAACAAACAACGGCAATATACGCTTGTCCAGTCACTACTGAAGATGTCGCTCGCATCACTGCTGACAACGATTGAATGCGGTCTTGCTATAGACCATGTCGCCCACAGCAGCTGGCGGAAGATGTGGTTATTTCCATTGCAAGACACAGCTACTTGAACCTTGTCTTCCAATCAACGGAGCCTATTTTGAAGACGGATGCTGTGACGGATGCGTTATAGTGTTGCTTAAGCCATCTGCTTTAAAGATGTTCCATGCTTCATTTAGGAAATGACCCGCTGGATGACGGTCATGGCCCGCGACTACGTGTACCGAGCAAGAATCGACGAAGACGTGGAGAAAATGGTGCGCGCCTCAATAAATGGCCTCCATCAAGGAAGTGCACCACGAGCCTAGCACCAGGTCAAGCACCAAAACGCCATAAATTACACATCAGCCTCTCTGCCATGTACAGCAATACGTCGCTTTCTCCGATCATAGCAACTCCAACGTCAAACAAAACAGCTACAATGCCTTCGTCTCTTTCCATGACAACTCGTCGATCGTCCCCGCATTCAACGTCGTCCTACTTCCTCCGTTTTGACTCGCCTAGTCATACTGTAACTGTCAAGCATTCAGGATAGGTGTTGTTACACCTTCTTCTTCTTTATTTTATTCTCCGCCCCAGTCTTAATCCCACGCAATCACAAGATCGGCTGATTTCTTCAGCTGTCTCCACTTTTTCCGTCTTTGGCATTTTCTGTCGCAACTTCGGCTACAGTGAGGTCCCTCTTAACAATTCTTGCTCATCTCTTCTTTGAGCTCCTCGCTGTCGCTTACCCAGAGCCTCGAGCTCCATTGCCTCCATTATTGGATAATACATCCTAGTATTACATGGTCTCCTCAGTACATGACTTACGCTGCTCTCTCACGCTCGGCTGGGCCGGCTGACCACCCTGTAGTCTTCGTTTCCTATCCGATCCACTCGTATCCAACCGCAGGACCATATGAGCATCCTATTGCAGCTGAGTAGAGCTGTCTTTCACGGTTCTCCTTTGGGGACAGGCACTCGTTGCCGTAGAGCATAGTGGGATTCACCCCTGTCCACTACACACTTCCTCCGATAGTCCTGGTGCACCGACGGTCGCATGGAGCAACGTCCTCTTCTTGCTAATCTCTTTTGGATTCCTTAGACCTGATACATGTTGAGTTTGTTAGGGTTTTTACAGCCTGGTCCACATTGCCATCAGCGGTTAGCTCGCTACCCCGCCGTCTTACAACCTTATGTATGGTTATATAGCGCTTGAAGCAGTGCTGCACTTTCATTATACCTTAATTCTATTTTGAGTGACCATGGTTAGATTTCGAGACATATGTACCTGCATAGTTGCCGTATAAATGAGGAATTGAGATTAATCTAGCAAATAAAAAATACAATTTGTGAGCTCAGGAACAAGACTCAATTTTTCCAGAAGAATCCACAAACTCCACGAAATGAGAAGGTTCCGCAGAAGTGTAATGATCAGAGGCTGCGCGTCAAAAGTGTCGTTCACATGAGGCTCTCCAAGTGACGCTCAACTTCTAGCTAGTGCGGAAGATGCGACAGATACATATGCCATATTGAACTTAACAACATCAGACGTGTCTGAGAAGGTGGTGACAGTGATTACAAAGCTGTTCCTTCCGTGCTGGACCTCTCCTTTGAGGAAATAACATTTGGAGGTTCATCGAATGAACTACCATAACTACACAATACAGGAGCAGGTCGGTTCCATTTCATACATGAAAGTTTGAAGCAAAATTACTTATTTCAGACTTAACCCCAGCTGTTTACATACCTAATAACAGGACTAAGCGTTTTGCAGTGGCCCCGCTTAAAATCATTTCCGCTCAAGTTGGAAAAAGTAGCGTTTACATTTTCCCTCCCCCAAGCAGGCTATTCCTGTGTTTGAAAAATCGAGCCTAATGTGTGCATAACTTTTCCTCGATCGGTTCCTATTTTTCACCGGCGCGCTCTCTTTTAACCAATGGAAATGCGATCACGGTCTCTCCGCCCATGCTTACTGCTGAGCTCTTCCATAGATCCCTTCTCTCACAGCAAGAGCTATCTTTGCAGGGACTGTCGAGGTACGTTGCACGAAGTACTCAGTCTAGCACGCAATCGCGTAATCCAAGGTCAACCCATGAACGTCGCTGATAGCACTTCATGTGACTGATTTCTTGGTTTATTTCCTTATTTCCGCTGCTCGTCGGAATGAGTAAATAGGGGACCGGGCCATGCTCTTGACCCATTGAGAAGTTGACGACTTGTTCTTACAGTCCACCAATCCATTTTCGCTTTCTAGCTTTGGCCACGGCACTGAATTTCGATTTTGCTCGTATAGTTGCATGGAACTAGGTCGCTTAGCCGGATACCAACAACTAGCGCTCCATACATCGTTGGCACTTTGTTACGACCAACCCTCTGCCTTTTCCATTAGAGCTAACGTTCCACGCCTTTACAGTAGAGTGGGCATTACGCATGTGTGGAAATGTCGCTCGGTCTTAAGCGGCGTCATTCGTCCCTTCAACAAAGTTCTCCCCACCACACCACCTCTCCACCACGATCCACGCTGTGCTGATCCTTCTACTGATTTCTTGTCCGCAGACTTGGATGTGCATGGTTAGTCCAAATACACGAATGACTACACCGATAAGATCTCTATTCCGTTCATCGTAATATTGGGTTGATGCATAATTATTGCGGATTTTTCCAGCAAATTTTACTTAAAGGAACTATAGAAATAGTAAGCAAAGACATATCCAAATAATTACTCCGGAACTAATTCACCATCTACTCAAGCACTGCTTCCCATTGATTAGTTAGTCGGATCCCAAAAGCGAAGAAATTTTGATCCTTACGCCTTGACATCGGCCATCAAGTCATCCCAATCGACGTAACTTCTATTCCCTAGCCATTTTTTCGAAGAACGGTTGACGAGATAATCCATAAATGTTTCTGCTGATGAATATGGCAGATTTAGGGGCGGATCCCATTTCTTGGTTGGCACTGGCTGATTGTTCGATCGCCGAAAAGTACTGAGATCGCGGAATGATTGTGCCACCTTCCAATCATTCTCGAAGTAGTTAAGCCTAAGTTTGCGAATATGCGAATGGTTCTCTGAGTATATTCTTGTGGAGAAATCAAATAGATCATTTTTAGAATAAACCCGAGCTCAATATTCAAATTCTATCGAGAGAAAAAGAGCCGCGAAAAAATCCGCAATAATTATGCATCAACCTAATACCATGTCCGGTGGATGAGGATCGGTTGTCATCCACTCGATTAAATTCGCACTTTCTTCAAAGTCTATGAGCTTGGTAGTTTCAGCGGTTTGTTGAGCATGGCTTACAACCCATCGACAGTTGGAGGACACATGAGATCATTGTCAAATTGTTGAGATGATGTAGTCTTATGGGATAACCTCGATCTAGTCCAACTTAATTACATCGAGACAAACCTATAGCACTTGTAACGTCAGTATAAAGCGATGGAGGTAACGGATTACCTTGCACCTCTTTGTCCCATCTGGTTTTTCTACATTACACCGATAATTTTATTCAAAGTCATATGTGAGAACTGCTTCGAGTCTAGCCTTCGCTACTTAACAACTAAGCTATTTAGAGGTTCGAGTTTTGTATTGCCCTATTTCAATAGAGTGATGAAGAATAATTTTTCTTCAGACAGGAATCAGCAAAAACGGGTTAACCAAGAGACGTCAGCATCAGTTTCAACTTCTTAGAACCTAATACTTGCGAAACTCTTTCCTCTCCTGAGTCCATTCAAAACACACGCACAAAATCAGTTTCTTCCGAATGATGCAAAGGTAATTGTGCGCTAATCAACATAAATACCAGTGAACTCATTCGATATTCAGCAGAAAAAAATGGAACCTCCTTTGAACAGCGAAAGAAAACTTACTTCTGCGATAATAATCTACGGCATGTCTACTCGGAGCTTATGACACGGCGACAAAATAACAAAAAGAATTGGAACCCACTCTTATGCACGCATGTATGAATGAAGAGAAGCCATTCCTCTGCGGTCTTGTGGGATTCTTCGCTGGAGGTCGTTTACACTGGCCCAGAAGCAGAAAGTAGTCCGTATATTTTTCTAGAATTTCGAAAATCATGGTGAAAAGAAAACTGAAAAGAAATCGCGACGATTTTTCAATCAAAAGTCGAATCGTGGGACTACTCAAAACGAGCGATGAACGTCAATCACTTAACCATGGCGGAAGAAAATGGCTACAGAAAGAATGCTGTTGGTGACGTTTTTAACGTCTACAATTTAGGGTGTTTCGAGAAAAAAAGGCAAGAAATACGAGCTACACAACAGGAAATTGCTGAAAAAGTGACATAAGAATTTAATGAGTAAGCTGGGTAAACGGTAAAAAAAATGAGCAAAATGGACGAAAGCTGTTGAAACTTTCAGGAACTGAGAAGAAACACGTTCCTGGTGAGACGTATATCAACTACGCCCAATAATGCGTTATGGTAATTGGAAACATTGCCGAGCAAAATTGCCGGAAGAGTTCCAGCGGAATGGATGGAAGCACCTATTTACTTATTCATCCACCGGAAATAAATTCGTTAGAACAGAAGGACATTCAGCAAACCTCAGATCAACATCAGTCGAGTTGAACTTTTGTAACAACACCAAGAAAGAAACAACGTCTGCAGCACACGAAAAATGAGAGAAAAAACCTATTTGTCACTAGGCAGAAAATTTACGTTCAAGGTGAGCAAATCTAGTACGCGGGAAAAATTATTACTTGGAACAATGCATGCCTTGGAGACTGGGGAGCAAAATTCTGATTCCCACATTCGTAATGCAGGCACTCCAGAGCCTATCGCCTACCTGAAACCCCCTTCCTAAAGTAAAAATCCTTTTGTGATCAGCAGCCATCTTCTGCCCCAAACAATCGAAATAATTGGGAACTAATAGCTGTAATTCAGAACAAAAATCTTACTGAAAGCTTATGATACCAGAATACTGCCTCAGAAATGTGGCTTACACGTACAGCAGAAACTTCAGCAAAACACAGAATACAAAAGTAATGAGGTTCATTGATAATTCTGGTTGGCAAGGCTCTTAGCAAAACCTAAGTTGTCGTGGATCACAAGAAAAATCTTTGTACTGAAGATGTTCCAAAACGACTTATTGATTTTTTGGAAAAATACCAAAAGCAAAGAAAAAGACGGAGGAGGGAAGTGAAAGGGTGGCAACGACTCATAGGGGTTAGCTGGCCAATCAATGATTGCGACTTGAGTGGTGGTGATCTACTCTGAGAATTGTCTTTGTGACAAGATCAGTGAAAATATCTAACTCGAATAGAAAATAATTATGGAGTGAAAAGTACTAAGCTTCGGATAACTGTGGAGGGAGGGTAAAGCATTAGGTTGATTCATAAGTGTTTCCTACAACCACTATTCTTTAAATAGTCCAAGAACGAAACGACGTAAAGATCAAAAGTTTGCACCATCATCGTCCACTACTCGACGCCTTGGGCACCTTGTCAATTCCTTTTTCCCTGATAGACGGAAGATTGGAAAAAACTTCGAATGCCTCTCTAAGCTTATTCTCCGTTCCAAACTTCTCTCTAACGAGCGCTGCAGACGGCAGAACAGCTGATAGATGGAAGGAACGAGATCAGGACTGTAAAACCACCACTCGTACTTCGCCAGCTTGACTCTGGTCGTCTTTGCAGGTCCGGAATCGTCGCGGTAGAGGGCGATTTCCGCATTCGGTCCACTTACAAATAATGAGAGCATTCTGTTTCCGCAGCTGCACAAAGCTCAATCCCCTGTCCTATGTTCAGCGACTACAAGTGCTCCATAACTCTTCTGGACCACCAATAACAATACAGCTTCCTTCAGGACGGGTTCCGGCTATTCCTGTCTATCGATCCACTACGGCTTCCTTCCGGGGTGATCGTTGCGGACCCACCTCTCATTTCCAGCGACCATGGAACCCGTGATGTGGTGCTCCTTTCAGAGAGTAAGGAGAGAAGTGCATACGATCACCCATCCCGACTGGTCATGCGATGATTGTGTGGCATTGTGGATTGCAAACGCAGGGTGGGGAAGCGCTAGCTATTATCCTCTTTAGAGAAGTCTTGACTTGATTTTGATGAGATACCAACAAAACTGAGGAGCCTGTCAATTCTTCTTGAACTTTAACCTTATATTCGACTTTCAAAGCTTTCATACAGATTAATGCCCATGACCAAGTGCATATTGACGAAGATACCTACACCCCGAGACATCTTATGTTCTGAGGAACAGTTTTTCTCCAAGCTCAAATCAGCGAAAGGCACCTTCTGGTCTCGTTATTCCGATGACGTCATAATCGATCTTCCGTGCATTAACAAATCTTCCATCCTCGCTTTGATATAAGCGCTTGTGTATTGGAAGTAGAGATTGTCCCCATAAAACCTCTTTTGAGCAGCCTGTTATGGTACTGAGAACTGGCATCTCTTCCTGAGCGTTTCTACCAAATGCTGTTGTATTGGATGCTCGCTCAGATTCAGAGAAATGAGGCTCAGGATATTATCGTTTCTGTCATTTGGATAAGGACGAGTAGCTTGCTGGGCACGTCGATATGGTAACTAGACTACGCAGGCTGTCGCAAAAAAGACAAGGCGTTTATTTTGAACTGGGATTTTTAACTGCTACTGCTTCGCCGCAAAACGCTGTGCAAAAGTCTCTTCAGAATTCGAGTAGTGGCAAAACTTCGGCCTCAGATAGGGAACGATTCCGCAAATGTGCTCTCGGGTAGCAGTGCTGTTTATCCTTTGGGTAGTATGAGGAATAAAGAGCACGCGCCCGAAGAGCTCAAGCACTGAATCTTTTCTATTTGAAGACGAGACACTGCTCACAATCCCTCATCCTTTCAAAGGCTTTTTTGTTAGAGCACTCCGGTAATGTACTTCCCTCTCACTTGAATATAGATTTTTAGCTGAGCTGATGTGCAGGATACCAATCGCACAGCAAACTCTCCACGCACGCATTCATGGACGCGGGTGCGAGGAGACTTGGATACTTGGATATTTGGACGCTCGCTGTCGGCTGATAACCCAGCGACGAGCGTACGCTTCCCTCCATTTTTGGCGATCTTAAGCGGTTGGGGCAAGAGTTGGCCAACAGTTTGCTTAAGTTGCTTCAGTGAGTCACACCACCTCGTGCAGGACAGCCAAGTGCGCGTTCAACCTCCGTGAGTACCAGAATTTAACACGAGTCATCCACCGGTCGTCCGTGCGCCTGACGCACACATTTCGGTCACGAATGCCGGACATTGAGCGTATATTTGCACTGCGTAGGTTGAGACTTCTCTGCACTGCGCAGTTGACTTTCAGCAGCGTCCGCTCCAAAGCTCTATATTAAGGAATCAAAATCAGCAATGACGCCTTGTTCTCCGCCCACGTTTCGATTGCGTAACCGAGTGCGGGCAATGCCGCAGAATCGAGAAGGTCAGTTCGTATTTTCTTGTCCGATTCAAAGTGAGCCGTTTCTTCGATGTTGCCCATTGCCGCCCACGCGCATCTTCTGCGCTTCATAATCTCTTCACGCAAGTTGTTATACACGGAGATGAGTCGCCCGAGGTACACATAGGAGCCGACGAACAGTAGCGTGACTCCTTCAAGTGTGATGGGTGACGCATCCACCCATTCGTTTCGCATGACCCTTTCACCTTCGCTGACACAGCCGATGACGTTGCGCAGGGTAGAAGTGTTTGTACATATAAGCAGGTCGTAATCTTGCGACAAGTCCTGTGCCTCCTGCCACGTCTACTGAGCAGCGGCCACCTCCATGGCACTTGTGCCATACTGCGGTATTCGTATAGAGGAGACCGGAAGTATCTCGTCTTCGAAAATCCGCTCCTAGGCGGACTTCGGCTCTGAAGAGCAAAACAAATCTCTTGAAGGTCAATGCCGTCAAAGCGAACTTCTCGCCGGTCTTATTCAAGATGGTTTAATCATTCTTTGAAGCAGTGGTACGGTAGTAGGCGCAAATTCGTAGGCAGTCTCCATGAATCGGATGCTCGCCGTCCTATGCACTCCAAATCCTGCGACTCCTGACCCTCTTTGTGCGTTGAAGCTAATACACCGATCCTCGGGTAGCTAGCCCATTGATGTGGTGATCACCTCCACAGTTAGACGAAATTTCTTCTGTTTTGCTCCCTCGCCGCTTCGAAACCAGTGGTAGGATTTNCATTTCCTGGTTCCATCCGTGCCTTTCTATAAATATCGGCAGCTTTTGCTACTCGATTCATGCTCTTGTCTGTCGCCTGATGTCGCGTCGTGTCGTTACGAACCAGGTCAATCCTTCCGTTAGGGAGAACATTTGGTGTTCGAGATCCTTAGATGGATAGGACAAACCGTCACAGGGGAAAAATTGGAGGTATGGTAACATCTCTCCGAAAACCGCGTCGCACTCGCCGTTCGCGTGCAGTCGCCCCATGAAGTGAAAGGATCGAACTTTAAAAGGGACTATGCGGACCGCTGTGGAACCACGGCCGCTTGCCGTGTGAATTCCGGGAGATACCGTCCCCTCCCCTTGAATCGGTGCTAGCACGAAATGAATTTGTTCGGAACAAGTGCGACTCGAGGTTGATTAAAAAAATTAAGATTTAAGTAAGAGGGTAGGATTCAAATTAAGGTTCGATGGAGCTAAAAGTGAATGCATATTCATGGTTTAAACCACGCTTCCATGATTACCGCTTAGGTTGTTTCAGACAAAGTTCCATTTTCTTCTGAATTTCAAGAGAAGCTAGCGGAAAAGTTAGAGTTATAGTTAAGTACTGCTCAAATCCTTTTCGATGCTGGGCAAATCTCCAGTAGGTGACTGTGCTCCTAACAAGGAAGGTCCTTCGGGGCATGGGACGCTTTTTGATAATGGTTTTTGCATGGTGTAGGGGCATGAGCACTGAGTACAGAACTGAGGTCCGTTTCCGCTAAATGACCTCCTGAATGCCAAAAAAGGAGTGAAATGATTCAGTCGGAAATTGCAATTTCAACCCAGTAAGCGTCATTCCGCATCGTCGACTGTCCGCACAGTGAAAGGCGCCAGTGTACTGCGTATTCAAAATAATGGATGTTGTTGAGCCACATGTTGAAACATCTTGAAAAGTGCGGGGAAGGTTCACAGGAGCTGTACACGGTTGAGCTGCTGGCAGCGACGTATAGTGTAGTAGATAGTGATGTGGGCTTCAAGTTGGGCTAGGTGGGTTGACGATCACTCCAGCAGATAGAGAGCAGATGCTTGGTGAAATTGAGTTCACTTTTTGGAATTAGACTTAACTGCAACTTCGCATCTATCATTGACGTTTCTTTTTACGGATTCGTGGACAGTTAATTATCGTAGCTATTGACGATCTTGTCAATCAGTCCAAAAGATGTACTGGCAGCAAGTTTTGACTGTAATCACAAGCGCCTGCAAGACAGTTTTATAAAGCTCATATAAAACATTACTCGTTTGTTAAGAGTTTGCAAAGAAGACTAGCTGAAAGGCTGGAAGCCTATGCTCTTTCGATTTCAGTGGAATCCAGTACAGTGACCTTCTCGGTTTTACCACTAAACAGCATGACGAGTTCCATCCGAGTGATAATAGGTAATAGTAATAGTTGATGCCTCCTTCATAGAACTCGATTGTTCACCGGTCAAAGAAGAACTCGGAGTTTTTCCTTTGAGTCCGTTTGGCAAGATTTTCCCTAGGAAGATACTCAGAGAGCGGAAGGGTAGCAATCCATTGGTGCAAGTTCAAGGCTACAGAATGGATGAGGTAGAAGAGTTCAATCAAAAGCCCTGAGTTTTTTGAACTTCTTCTCACCGAAACTTCGTCTCAATATCAGATAGCCAGTTGAAGGAACAATACGCCGTCACTCGCCCTGCTTTACCTGTCGTCCCGCTGAGCATCGACGTTCACGATGGGGCGTCTTCATTTGCTCCTATCACGAGCATAAGTAGTAGAGTGAACCGCTCCCGCTCTAGTGAGGAAGCATAAAGTATCTTCTGTTCAGAGCTTTCGTAATGTGGTCCGACCATCGGACCGGCGAGGAAGAAAGGGAGTTGTTAGTTCGACAGCTTTGACATCACAGTGATATAGTCAGTAAACTACCCTGTTGAAGGGTTGGCACTTCATGCTTAATGCCGTCAATAACTATAGCACTGCTGCCGTTTCAAGTACACAATAAATGGCGATCAGTACAGCGACTCCGAGGACCAAGCCACTGTGATGTCAGAAAAAACATTCGCAATTCACTTAAAAGCCTCCTGCGTTAATGGCTGCTCAGCTCTTCGTCCACCCAATCCAGAAGAACTTTACGAATAGAGCTGAGCCGCAGCAGCCAATCTTCGATCGAATGTCGATGAGAATGGAAAAGTACTGCAACGACCACAACCACGATTCTTGGTCTTCCGTCACATCTTCCACAGGGAAACTCGAGGGCTCTACTCAAATACACGAACGACGACACTAATCGATTTGTATTTTACTTCTATTCACCCTGATGTCGTGTCTATTGAGATAGGTAGACATCCATTTGTTTTTATTTCGTTCAGTAAATCTGCTACCAGCTTGGTAGCTTTGCTTCGTTTGCTGAACATGGTTTAAAACCCATGAATAGTTGGCGAACACATGAAAACGTCGTCAGCATAGGGGAGGTAAATGGTTTTGTCGAGGCACACCTGCATGGTCAGTTCAGCAAAGTAAGTAACGGATCACCCAGTTGCTCCTTATCCTCCGTTATTTCTCTACATTATACCAATTAAATTGTTCAAAGACATATCTAACTACAACTATTTATAGTCTAGCCTTCGGTATCGGCGGCTGAGCGATTCAGAGGTTTTTGTCTCCGACTTCTCTATTGCGCTAGAGTAATAAAAAAAGATTTATCTCGAGAGAGAGAGAGATCAGCGAACGTTGGTCAACCAAGAAACGTAGCGTCCGTTTGACCTTCGTGAAATCTAATCTTTGCTACACGTTTATTTCTTACCAATTCCTTTGGAACAGACGTATTGAATCAGATTTCTTACGACTGAGAAAAAGGGAATTGCCCGCTAGTCAACATCGATTCTTGCGAATCCAATAAATATTCAATAAATAAAGATCCAAATCTTTTCTCAACAGAGGAAGAGCTCCTATTTTAGCGATACTATAGTACGGCATATGCCTGCCTAGACCAACCAAGCCTTCCATCCCTCCGGGGTCGGTTAATTGATACCAGACTCGTGTGGGAAGATAAAAGCACTGACTTGACATCGGCTGGCCACCGCAAGTCATTGTATAGGCCACATTCGCACTCATTACGCCATTNCGATCCTGAATGGAAGTCGAGTGCGGGGGCGCATCCCTCAGACGGGATTGATTAACGCCAAAACCTTTATCCTTTATCCTTTTCATAGTACGGCATGCCTGTTCGGAGACGACGAAGATAACAAAAAGAAATAGAATCCAACGTTGTGCTATTTCCCATTTTGCGATCTTGTCAAAAACTTCGTTGGAAGTAGCATTTACCTGCCAACCGCAAGCAATAGTCCATATAGTTTGCTCAAGTTTCAGAACACATGGCAGAAAATAAAGACAAAAAGATATTTCAGAGATTTCACAATCAAAAGTCACTTTGAGGGACTTTTAAATCATCGATCAATGCCAATCACTTTAACATGATGGAAGAAAACGACTTCAGAGAGAATACTGTTGGTGACGTTTTTGACGCCTGCATTATGAGGATTTCGAGAAAAAGTAGTGAAGTACGAGGAACATAGCAGGAAATTGGAAAGAGGGACATAAGAGATTCATGAGTAAGCCGGGTGAACGGTAAAAAAAGAAGCAAAATGGACGAAAGCTGCCGAAAGTTTCAGAGCCTGAGAAGAAAGACGTTCATAGTAAGACGATTGTCAAATGCGCCGTTGTATTCATTTCGTCTAAGACCACACGAATGCTTCTGAAAGAGACCGGATTCCAGTCAGTACCCTAGTGACCTGACCAATAAAAGCACCTTTGTAGTAAAATTAACTCTTCAAACGAGAACAGTCAATAAATTATGAGTAGAAAATAGGCTAAACAATAATGTGGTTTAGTATTATAGTTTGAAATCTTGCCGAGCAAAATGCTACCCAAATTTTCTAAACAACCTGAGATAATTCAGAGTTGACTAAGAATCAGGCAATTTACATTTCAAGCCATTTAGTCTTCAGTGAACGTAACAAGAAGATATCGGATTCCAGATACTCCCAAAAAGACCCAGTATATTGGAGGCGCTTATTCATCAACCTATCCGTTAGAAATAGTATAGTATACTCGACAGAATAAAGGAAATGAAGCAAAACCTGAATTAGGTTAAGTTAAGTCTAGCTGAATTTTCGTAACATAGCTAGAAAGCCCAAGTCTACAGCGCACGAAGAATTAGAAAAAACCTATTGGTTTCTAACAATAGGCAATTGTTTCACGCTCATGGTTAGCAAATCTAGTACGTGGGGAAACTGGAAGCGAAACATGCTCTAAAGACTAGGTATAAAAATTTTGATTTCCACATTTGTGATGCAGGCATTCCAGAACCTGTTGCCAACCTGAAATCCCCTTCTGAAAATAAAGGATAAAGGATAAAATTTTCAGAAGGATTTCTTGTGTGATATGCCAGGCCTGTGCTGCAATGAAAATCGAACAGTTCCAGGCTGTCATAGCAGCCATGATTCTATCCAACTGTTCACAGAATTGCACAGCAACTTCTGGCACAGCACCAATTCCTGCAGTTGCTCTATCCGTGTAGAGATATGCCAATGGAGCGGTAAAACTTGGTCTGGGTAAGACTATGTCACCTCCTATGCACAAACCCGACAAGGGCACCAGCATCTCGCATCCATGCGCATCTCGCAGGCCTTGTCCGCCCATCAGGAAACTGGCAATCAAATAACCGATTGTACATTGTTCAGTCATTTCGAGAAGAATCGCTATGCGCAATATGCTGTTCTTGTACTCATTAGCAGAGAGTATTCTGTCGCGATTTGCTTGTAGCCAGTCCTCGTAAGGTTTATTCTGTTGGGCACCTCCTTGGAACATCCCATGTGTTCCAAAACTCAAGGTGGGTACTTTCCCAAAGAAAGGGGTCATCTTGACACAATTAGACCATGGTCTTATTGGACGCTGCGCTGCCTTCAAAGTCACATTGAACTTAAGAGCAGCCTCAGGGCATAACAAATCGGCACAGACTGCCATATCATAATAGCTTAAGTCGTCTGCCTGTATGTATAGGCCGCCATTCTCATGTGCATCCTTCAAGTCTTTATAGAGGACGTCCATGTCTACGTCAGCGCCACCGAATTGATACCATGCCATCTGTGGTTTGAGTCCGGAACCATTAACAGTAACCTCAAGTGTCATGCCTGGATCAAGTTGTCGTATCTTCCCCGCGATGTAGCGATCTTCACATCGCAACCAAACGCTGACCCAACACGCCAAGCAGGATTGTCGTGCCACTGTGGGCTGAATGAATGGAAACCATTTCTGTGCTGAACAAATTTGTAACCCGATTGGGAAAATTCTGTTCAGTGAATGACAGTTCGCCCTCCAGTTCATATCCTGTTGCGAGCTGATTAAGGAAACCACAGAAGTAAGTAGCTTGAGTTCATCGACTGTCGTGCTGACTGGAGCGCTCAATACCACTCCTGGCAGCCGCGTGGCTTCCGATTCTGTTAGCGTTGCGATCATCCTTCCCCCTACCTTGGCAGAGCGAGTCTCTCGATTGTTATCACAATATATCGCCTCTGCTGGTAAGTCGCAGTATACTCTGCATTTCTTGTACATCCTTCGAGGCAAGTCACGCGTAGGGGCGACATATTCAGCCACAGCTGGTGGTTTATCGACCGGATCGTCTGCGCCCAAATACTTGGCCTCCTCATTCTCATCTGCATTCGTGGGACCACTGCCTCCGTCTCTTTCTTCTTCCACGTTTCCCGCCTCTTCATTTCTTTCTACCTCTTCCTCCTCACCACCATCCGGATTATCCGGAAGGTTTCCCTCAGAGCAAGGCTTAGGTCTGACTGGCCCGATTGGTGAAATCTCCGTGTAGTTTGCCCGTCGTACATTCTGTCGGGTGGGTCAATACCGTTCATCACTCTCCACACGGAATTTAAGGTGTTAACTCTCTTTGCGGTGCGCCAGTTGTTAGCAGTATATAGGGTTAGTGCTTGATCTGTTGGAGCGTATGAAGTACACAGTAAGTACACCACAATTGTCGTCAACTTATTCCGATTCAGAGTCATGCCTCTCACTTTCAAAGAATTCGAGCCCTCCCCAGCTTTGGCTTGCTTAATTAGATTTTTGTGGTCGTCCAACAAAATAGCAGTCAGCGAGCTCAACATTTCTTCATATCCCGGTTTTGGTTCACGTCCAGAGCACACAGCCCAAAAGTTGGTAACGACGCAGTACGGCACAACTGTATGCTTGAGTTTCTTAGCGCACCATAGCATTCTCTTGATTCTAGGTGCATCTAAATCCTGCGGTGGGTCGATCAGTGCGAGATGGCCAGCGAATTTCGCTCCTCCACTTGATGCACAAACCCTAATAGTGGCATTGAGCAACGCACACGCAACCTTCTCCCATCGCAACATCTGGCCAAACTGGGTGTGTCGCGCTTCGCCTCGGTATTCAAAATGATTCGAATCTCCAACAGTGTCGTCCGCCTCTTCGGGTTCCGTCCAGTACTCAGCAAATAACGTGGGTCCATGGAGAGCGTGGACGCCCCGATTTTCCAACAGCACTAGAGCTGGTTGAACCACGCTCATGTTATTCGTGAGCTTATCGTCCGCAATTGCTTCACTAATTTCAGACAACAGGTCAACTCTGTGAGTCCCATGTAGTCCGGATGTATTCCTTCCTCCCTTTACAGCCTCCATCACTTTGTCATCAGGATGCGCACTCTTAGTATGAACATTACTAGCCGAGTCACTAGGCTGCACTGAGCTGACATCACTCATTCTGCCTGAAACACAACTGAGTTGATTAAGCTCAACTTTACATTAACAGTACACGACACGAGATCATGATAATACGATCAAAAATGGGTGATCCCTACAAAGACCCTAGCACAGAGAAAAATTTGGGTTTGACCCCCGGTGTTTTCCCTAAGGGGTAGGGAACACCCATGTAACAAAATATATAACGTCTTAGGGGGGCCCCTCCTCTAGACCCCCTACGGAGTCCATCAGGGCCCTAGGGGGGGGGGGG